TCTCAGTTGGGCGTCGAACTTTGGGAACCCTGAAAAGACACCATAACGTGCTACACAGACTTCGATGGGTGGCCCCGTGCAGCTTGCAAGACATGCATGGCAGTACATGTTGGATTTAGCTGGCTTCAAAAGCTCCGGCCCAAACATCCAAACCCTGCAGACCTAGACATTTGCTAGAGAATCTTCAAGTTAATGGCTTTCGGTAAGCTCCACGATTGTTCCTAAAGCTCATGCAGCTCAAAGCCACACGTCCCTGGCCTCAATGTCGCCGCCACTGCCCAGCCAGTGGGCAAACGTCATCTCGGAGGCCTCCAGCTAGGAAGAGACCCATGTGCAAGGTTGAGGGTTTAGGGATAGATGTAGTTTAGTATAAAGGGGGGTTATGTAGGGAATTATGTTGGGGATTATATAGAGGAGTATTATAGGGCTTATCAATGGACTACAGCTCATCTGGGGCCCACTACTGGAGTATCAAATGGAAAAGAAACTTGCGAATGACATGGAAACTGGGGTTCGTATAGGCTTTAGGATTTCTAAACTGGCCTCATTTCAAGAAACAGGCGGTTGAGAAATTGAGCGTTTCTGCCGGTCAATCACTTTTTTGAGGGTCCTGAAGAGGGACAGTTCTTCGAGAGGCACCTTGTTTTCTTTATTGGTATATACTGTGGGCCGCATTGGCACCATAACCTGTCTTTCTTGCAACATCTGAATCTGCGCGAAGTATCCGGCAAGCCTGGACTTCATCGCAGACAATATTGAAAGACTCGGGTCTATGGCTGTGGCTATTGAAAGTTTGAGTGAGAAATCAGCAAAGGCAGAGCCCAGCAGCTCCTGATTATGTAATGAGTCTTCGTACCACTGAAATCACAGAGGCTGCTTCTACGCCTCGAGGTCAGCAATCTGTACATTTCACACGAACGCATTCTGAGGGTCGCAGTACCTAAGCAACAAGAGGATGCCATATGTGCAACCTTTGATGGGTGCGAGCACGTGAGTAGCTTCAGCTGTCTGTGTGAACCTAATTCAGGAATCTATTGCACTTCCCCAAAGGGTCCAAAGTACCTATATGGTACAAAGTATGGTTTCTGTAATAGTAATTTCCCTTATGGTTTGGGTAAGGATTCCCCATAATATGGGTACTTAGGAATCTTTGGGTTCTATGTCTGCATACCCTCCAGGAAGACGAAGCATGCATGGGGCTCAGGGGAGTGCGGGGCAAGGGAGGTGGAGCGATGCAGTTCCACACGAGTTTCGATCCGGGGTCCTTTTATTCTGAACTCCAAGACGTTTCAAAACAACGATGCCAGGTCACAAGTCACAAGCAAACAGTTATAGAACCCTACATGAGGTCCTAAGGCTTGCTTGGGGAGGGCCTAGAAAAGCAAGGCCAAGCACGGGCCAAGTCCCATGAAATGGGATTCGTAGGTTTTTCTAAGGGTTCATATACCCAATAATTGGGTACTTGGGATTTTGGTACTAGTAATTCTAATACAGTTTTTGGGTAAATATCTGATTATTGCGTACTTGGACCCTTAGGGCTTGGGATTTGATTTGACCTCACACGAATCGAACCTTCTAGGATGGAGATCTTACAGCAGGTAGCCCTCTCGCTGTATGCAGCTTCGCAGGTATCCAGACAATTGGGCTCCTCTGAAGCTTATGAGGGCCTGCTTAGTTTGGAGAGATGTGTTAGGCCAGAATTTAAAAAAGAAAAAAAACAGCTACAACATCACCAATCAAGATATCAGCAGTTTGTCGCATGCAAGACATGATCCCACAAGGCTGAAGTCTTTTGAGAGGTCCGCCATTTTTGTAATCTCAACAATGTAGCCGTGAAGTTTACCGTTCACATGGCAAGCATTGAGCAACTTGTGTTCCAACTTCAATGCGTCGAGCTCGTCCAACTTGGAGTGCGCTTCGCTGATGCTACCACGTCGCTGCAAACGCACCACATGTTGTTGTGTGCCTTCAATTGTGCGAGCTCTCTGCAAACCAGCCTCGTCCAGTCTGCTCGGCCATCCCTGGTTGCCAACCATGTCTGCAAGCTTGGCACGAACTTGAGGCGCATTCTGCCTTGTCAGAGCTAAAGCCAGTTTTGCTTGTTCTGCCTTGCACAATAAGCCTGCTTCCAACATGGCACGCAGCGCATCTTTGCAGGCAGATGTACGCGTAAGGTAAAGGGTAGAGCGTGAATTGTAAGTTCTAAGCCGTGCATCTATGTTCCAGTACTCCATCAAGCAGCCCTTCAAACACTCCAAGACGGTTACGTGTTTCTGAGAGACCTGCAGGGCAAGACGCGTTCCGCCATCGTGCTTCAAGTTACCGTCTGCGTCAAAGAAGCCTGTAAGATACTCCGTAGTACACTGCTGAGCTATTGCAGAGTCGTATCTTTTCAAGGCACTAAGCTCCTTCTGGCGGCACTCCCTCAGATATGTATCCTGAGGCCAGGCGGCTGCCAACAGAAGCTGCTTCTTCTTGGTGATGCTGTGTGGTGCTAGAAGACAAGCAGCGCGACCAGCTGCGGAACCTGAGATTTCCCATCTGAGAGCTGGTAGACGCAAACCGATCCCGTCTGAGTGGCGCACCACACTGCCACCAAACGCATCCAAAAATAGTAGCAAAACGCCAGGCTGCCTGATAGACTGGCTTATCGACAGCCTGCATCCGGACAACTTCGTCTGGCATGAAACACATCCGTCACCATCGAAAAAGCCTGCCAAATACCTCATTCTTGTAGGTGCAGGTTGAGGCAGCGCTTGTGCCATACCATCTTTCCGGCTATGTGGCAAGCCATATTCACGACCTTGCCACAGAAAGAACGTGATTCTTGGATGGCGCATTCTTTGCAACAGTGCATGAAGCTGTTGATTCTTACTTCTTACCAGGTCAAGAGCATCGCCAGGTTTTGCAATCAAAGATGAAAATTCCAGAGCCGCCTGGCGATCTATGTCTACATCTACATGGAAGCCCTGCAAGCTATGGGCGAAGCGATGCTTCGCTACGCAGGCCGTGCCGGTTGATAGCCAGCTTGGTTTGAATCCCAGGTGTCGCTGCACCAGCAGAGTAGCGCGCTGCAAGTGCAGGCAAACTCTTCTTGCCTCCACCATTCGTATCCAACTCAAGTCAGCTCACTCTTGCGTCGAAGGCTTGGGCCAAGCGATCAAAATGCACGGCTTCCTGAACCCCATGATCCGCTTGAATCCACCCTGTCTACACCGACGGGCTTCCCTACCTTGCGAGCGTCACATAGAAGCCGTGGCCAGGTGGCAATTAACACTCTCAAAGTCTGCATCCCCAGCAGCTAGCTACAAACTTCGACTTCTGGATACCGTGTGCAGCAATTGAGGTCTCCCTTTGGTAGTCTGCTTGCATGGGATCCTAACGTTCTTGGGGTACATGTGGAAGTGTGAGTTTGACACATTTCCAGCATCCCGCCTTCTCCTCGCTCATGTTTGTGCTGTTCCGCAAGTAGCGGGCCTTCCGCAATGCTGGAATGTCGCCATGGAAAGTCAACGAGAAAATGCAGAGCCTTTCTGAATGCAAACTTCAGAACATGCTTAGTGAGCTGTTGACTTGGGCTTGAGGCTCCAGCAAGCAGAGCCAGGATCAGCGGATGGCAGATGATGCCGTCCTGCGCTGCCAGGGCAGTGACCCATATCACGGGCTTGATGCATTTATTTGGCGATGCAACGGTGTCAGCGGTGCAATAGAATGGGTATTCTGATCTATGACATGGGAACATGCCAGTCCCAATGCACGCCGTCAAAACCCAATCTTACACCAAGGCTTAGAATCCGCGCATGCCTGCGCCCAGAGCTTGTCGAAGGGCGGAATGGTCATGTCCTTTTCAATTGCAGTGCGCTTCAGAAGGATTCAGGAGGTATGTCGTTCATCACGCTTGCGGGTAAACAACTTAGGCCTCTATCTGCATCAACTTCGGATATCAAGTGTTGAGTTGAGAGTTCCAAGGGTCGCAGATGTAAGGATGTAAGGCTCGCGGTTGAACCTGAGCAGTGATGAAGATCCCCAAAGCAGCCGATGGGTGGTGACTGCCCCTGCTTGCTTCCCAGCGGCGCGCTGCGCGCGCATTCGGCTGAAGGTGACCTGGCTGAGAGCAATGGGGTGCCTGGGGGTGAGGAACTTAGTTAAATTTGGCAGGTGTGAATTGGCGCCATCCCCTAGCTTATCCCTGAGCGCTGCCTATTTGCAAGTCCACTGGACTACCATTAGTCCATGATGAAACGGACATAGTTTGCGCTTGGGCCTGGCTAGCTTCTTAAGGGGCACCAAGGTTCCAGGAGTCTACTTGGAGGGTCATGGGGACTTAGTAAATGGGTCAATAATGGGGATAATTAGAGTTACTATATGGGTTATAGGGGTTATTAACATACTTACTAAATCCCCCTGACCCTCCAAGTAGCACTTGTGGCCCGACTCGCATCCTTCTGACACTCCTCCTCTCCTTCATAGCCGGATGTTTACATCTCTGCTTCTGTAACTTCAATCCCTGGAAACACGAGCATGCAGCTGTTCTGGCTCATATGACCTGACCCTGTTGAACGCACGTTGCATGATATAAACGCATTGGAAATCACGTGTTGACTCAATCACGCTGGCACAGCATGTCAGCGGGCATGTCTGCAACGATGGTCCCAACCCCTCTCAGACCGGGAAATGCCTCTAGTGCACTCTCCGATTCTTAACATGTCCACCTCACGTTTCTTTCTCCCCTCGCACTGCCAGGTCGCTGCCTTTGTTCTGTAATCCTGGCGGCGGAACAACTGGGACACAGTGCTCTGGCGCAGTCGCAGTGCAGCAGGGATCCTAACATCCCAAGTTCCAAGTGAAAGAAGAAACACATCACTTCCATCCTTTCCTTTTCAGTAGCACAACTCCTATATAGACTCTGCTGCCTTAGTAAGCCGCACTTTCCAAGAACAACCCATGAAGAACTATCTATACCTCAGAATTCGGGACTCATTGGCTGTACAGCTGCTGGTCTACGGCGCCTCTTGAAACAACCGCAAGTAACCGAGCGTCTCATTCACCAAGGACGCATCCTGGCGGGTCACAAGCGCATGGTAGCGCTCCCATTGCTGCGTGTGGGCTCGATTCTGTGCAGAGTCATCGTCAGACAAGATCTCCTTCAGCTCCTTTAAAATGGAGTAGATCATTTCCTGGGTTGCGGTTAAGGAGCTTAATTTAAGTTACTATCAATTATTGGGGAAACCCTATTAATTACTATATATACCCATTCTGGTAACTTGAACTGAGTTCCTTAACAGCAGCCCAGTTTCTTGTTGAGCCTTGGCCTGCTGCTTTGTCTCCAGGCAAGGATCAATGGCAGGCTCCATTGGGGTTCCGAGGCCTAAAGACACAGTGCGCACAATCTCCCCGAAGGCAGCAGCTGCAGAAAATGCCTCCCAAATCATGACCTCTTGAAACATCAAGCCAGCTGTCCCCACCGCCAGAGGCAGGAGGAAGAGCCACAGAAGTGTTGATTTCCACTGGCTCTTGGGACTGCAAATCTTTTGAGCAACCGGCAGCTCGGCTTTCAAACTGTCAACGGATTCCTGGTGCCAATCAAAATTGTAGTGTTCGTGGCGAGAGCGCATGGCATCCGTGCCCTTTCGCACTGCGATGCTGGGTTGCTGTATTTCCTCTCTCATTGCAGCCGCAGCTCAAACGTGGATAGGCTAACTACACAGCAACTTTAGCGATACTTGCAAGGTGCCGTTGCGTGCCAAAATCTAACTGTGCCGCCCCACAACAACAACCCCACCCTATATCCTAAACCCTAAGCCCTAAACCCTAAAACCCTAAACCAGGCCTCAAAACCTTTGCCATTTCAAGCCAATCACCCAAACCTCGCATGGAACTACCAACAACAGAAGCTACACCTTGAGGCTGTGAGTGGCAGAGGCGCAAAACATGGCCGAGGGTTTGGGGTAAGGGGTGGTTCACTTTCTACGCAAAGCCTCCTGCAGATCATTATGGCTTCAAACCCTTTACCAAAATCATAACACCCCAAACGGACAAACAGGAACTACAAATAAGCCCTCATGCAGCGTTTCTGAAGATATGGACTTCTAGGTGAGAATTATTTCAAAGAGTTTAGGGTTTCGGGTTTTGGATGTAGGTGCCATGGACTACTTGCAAAGCAGCATTTTCAGGAAGGAAGCAATGATGCTACCTGCCGGCAATAGCAGTAGGAGTGCTGCCCAACTGACTCCTTGATCCGGTCCCTAAGGATACCTGTAATGATTTTGGACATTAGGGGGGCCGCCCTGCCACAGTCTACATCAGGGGTGATGTTGCATAAGGGCTGTAAAGTTCTGTATTAGTCATGTTATCGAGTGAGGGTAGTACCCAAGGAATGATCTACAGAAATACTTGAAGAGTCAGGGAGACTTAGTAAGTAGGCTAATAACACCTAGAACCCATATATCATTAACCCATTTACTAGGACCTAGGACCCCATGACCCTCCAAGTAGAGCCCCAGGGAGCATACATCATGCGTAAACTTCTCTGAATGGGTGCCATGTGGCCGCTCAATCCCAACTTCTACTCCAAACAGGGAAACCCAAGAATATAGTAGGAACATAATGGAATATAATGACCTTGGTAGGTATGTTCCTATTATATTCCTACTATATTCTTGGGGTTCCCTGTTTGGGGTTCCCAGTAAAGTCCCTTTATCAAAAACATGCAAGCCACTGAAACCGGGATCCAACAATAAAGGCTGGAGAAGTCACTTGGAGCCTATAGGACCAGATTCTCATCCCGGCGTTCTACGTCTATACATAAGCTCAATGCCTACGTTGGGCCCCTAAGTCTATAAATCATGCTTTTTACATTCGGCCCCAAAGTCTGTGAATTATACCTACATTGGGCCCCAAAGTCTATAAATTCTAACTACATTGGGCCCTAGAGTCGAAAAATAGTACCTTACCTATATGACGCCTTAGGGCTGTAGCAATATGGAAAGACAAGCATGCCGGTGCGGACGCCCTCAGGTAGTGCTTCTCGCTGCTTCCGGAAGTCAGAAAGCAAGACCTGCGCGGGGACACAAAAGCCCTAAACCCTAAACCCAGCCTAAACCCTAAACGCCAGACTTGGACAGTGCTTGTTGAGTTTTGAAGTTTGGGGAGTACAGGGTTGCAGTCTTACAGGATTTGGTTTGAGTTGTCATAAATGCAGGGTGTGTTGAGCACCCCAGCGTCTCTTCTACTAGTCCCCGATGACAGAACAAAGCAAATTCATTTCCCAGCCCCTGCTCCCTTTTGTAGGGGTTCTTTTGTCAAAGCCGATGCGTGGCCTGAATGTCCACATCTTCTTCTTGCTGCTGTTGAAGCAGCTTCGAAACAAACATAGGACATTCACGGGCAAGTGAGGATGTATACGTTGGAGTTTCTCAAAACGAAGAATTGGTGCGCGCTACTAACCACCCAATGCTTACATGTTTGAGACTTGAGCCTGTGCGTCCATTGACGATTGCACCGCGACAGGTATTGAGGGCAACCTTTTTCATCCGAGTGGAGCAGGATGCCCAACGAATGTAGTGTACAGCAAAAGGCTCAAAGTGTGACCCTCGCATCTCAGGTGGGCGAGTCATTGTCAAACTTCCCAAGTTCGCAACATTCCCTTCTCGCAGGTATAGGGCGTGATAACTTCACAGTTCAAAATTGCCCTAAACAGGTCGTCAGCCCAACACATTCACGTCACATTCAATCTGTCTCTGGCCAGCCAAACAACAGTTGCGTGCCTTTATGGTACGTGGGTGGCTGTTTTGGAATACGTTAGTCTGGGGAAGCGCGGTCTTGACTGGAAGCTCCTGCGCAAGCCACATGAACCATGAGCCCTGATCCCCAAACAGTGCTTGCCAGAGGTGGAAATGGACAAAGTTGTAGATCCTGCAACCTTGATTCCAGCTTCTGCCTGTAACATCACGTATAGCTCCACATCCTAGACTCTGTGATCTTTGCACATCTGAGGCATCTAGCCCCGACGCCTCTTAGTGCAATACAGGAAACAACCTACATCTTAAGGTCCAGCAAACAGGACTTAGGGCCCTCGGAGGATCCTTAATTCTTAGAAGCTCACATGTCTTGTCTCACAAGAAGTAACCCTTCGTCAGAGCTCACGTGAGCGAAGGGTCACGCTGGGTCCATTAGCTTCAATGCGGAACGCTTGGAGGCTACCAGGAGCAATTGCATGCAGTATGCTCGAAGCTTCTGAAGTCTGCCTAAAGCACCCAAACCCTAAACTCCAAACCCTAAACCCTAAAACCACCCAAACCCTAAACCCTAAACCCTAAACTCCAAAACCCTAAAACCACCCAAACCCTAAACCTGGATCAGAGTTGAGAAAATGAAAGATCGCTCTGAGGATGAAATGGTCTTACGCAACTTCATGAACATCAGGATAAAATTGGACCCTGGATGTCCTACGGCATGTGCAGGAAGCATGACGCTCCTGCATAAAGTAGATACTTACAACGAAGAATACTTATCTAGGAACGCCTTTGGGTCCCAGCTACCTACAGGTCAGGGTTGACCACCAGTCTTCCAAGATTCCTGCATGAAGGCCATAATGCTGTGGACTCCACGAGTAAGAATACATCAGAGTGCCTTTTAGGGTTGAGTTCCACGAGGCTCTTGGGAACCTCAAGAATGTAGTTGGAACATTAGTACTAGGAATATGCATACCAGGTACTATGTTCTTGGGGTTTCCTGTTTGGGGGTTGTAGGGGTGATTCTTGCTGTGCAACGAAATTCATACTCATCCGCTACCGATTGACGCATGATGGTCTGTGGAAAGTTCAAGCTCAATGTTGCGTCTGCCTTTCTACCTCTCAAGAAGACTGCCTGCAACACATAACAAAGCTGACGTCGCAGAATCAGAAGAGCATGTTCAGTGTTTGACAGTGGGCTTGAGTGCTTTCGAAGCGGCTTGATTGCTCTTCAAAGTTTCGCTTCCTATCAGTTTTAAACCTCAAAGTGCTACAAACCGGATACTGTAAGCTAGATCCTGTCTAATGCAACCCTAAGACTCGAACGTCCCAAATTCGGAAACCCCTACGGCTCTCATCCGTTAGGAGACCTTACTCCTGCTAGCCTTCAGCGAGAAAGCCTCGAGGGACTCTCGAGGCTTGAAAGGCTCGCGCTTTGGCGTCGTGATGGTCGGTCAAGCCTCCTCCTTGTAAGCACCCTGATGTAGGATTTAGGGTTCAGGGTACAGGGGATTCAGCCTGCATGTGGTTGTCATTAGATGTAGGAGTTCCTCCTTAGGCTCCTTTTTGGGGCGACTTTAACTGCAAGTTGGGGCAGGTAGTTCTGTTCAAAGCATGACAGCTGGAGGCCGGAACGTCCACCCTCCCAAGCCGATTCCCATCCCGATTCGGGTCCCGGTGAAGGAGATATTCTCAACTTCGGCCCGTGTGCAAAACGCGTGAAACATTCCTGCTACTGCTGCCGCACTCTGAGCAGCGTCATTGAAATATGTTCCTGAAAAAACTTGTCACCAGTCTACCAAACCCCTTTTGGGAAGCAACATTCGCAAAGACATATGGTTTCCCAGCAACATACATCTTGTATCCAACAGCTCAGCTGGTGCTATCCTGGCTGGCCATTTCCAGTGGCCTCACAAGAACAAGTGATCAGGGCTCTGGGGTTGGCTCTACATGGGTTTAGTTTAGGGTTTAGGGTTTATAAGGTACGAAGATCAGCCGCTCACCACCAAGGGGCCGTGCAAGCAGGTTGGAACTGTTGCTCGGGGGTCAACTGTTGCGCTTCATGGCATTGTGCTGGGACTTCTGCAAAAAGAGCAGTTGAAACATATGAGCCATAGTCTAAACTCCTTAGAGGGGGTTACATAGGGGATATATAGGGAACACTCGAAAACGATTATACGGGATATTAAGGGGGATGCTAGGAATTTCGAGTATAGCTCATATGCTCTTCGGTACCCGCCCTATGATGGCACTTCACATGGTCCTACGATGTGACGTGCTTGACCAACTCTCATATGAACCATTAGCCAAAGGCTTTCATAGTCATGCCAAGTTTACGGACGGTTGAAGACTCCCCGGTGCCTTTTTATTCAGGGTTTAGGCTTTAGGGTTAGTTCCACACTAGGGACTATAGACCCGCAAGTAAAACACAAACGCTGCCGGAGCACAGTACTAAATAGAGCCACAGTTACAGCATTCCCGGACAATTCCATTTCTCTACAGATACTGGTTTGAAATAGACGTTAACTGACTGAAAACCGGTTTTGAACCAACACTTTAGGCATTGTTATTCAGGGTTTCCCCAAATTGGAGATAGATCAATCGAGGGTGGAGGGGGGGGATTATTTTTGTGGATTCAGCATCAGTAGGGAATAGGGAAAGGGCTGTAGAAAACCGACCAGCTAGAGGAGGGCTCAAGGAAACCCTGAAAGTTTAAACCTGCGCTTTAACACATTTTGTGGTCTATCGGGTTTGGAGCTTAGCTTGGGGTATGTAATATAAAGGGGTGGGAGACACCATGTTAGAGACCGAGACTGGAGCCAACCCTAAAGGTACGCTTACCATCTATAGTCCCCCTCAAGTAGATAGAATTTGGGGTATATGGGGATCCTAGCATAATATACCCAAAACCATATGGGCTCGTGTGAAAACCCCGT